CCTAAAAAGTTTTGAAAGAAAACACCAAATGAGTTTCTAGTTTTGTCACTTAGCCCACTTTTACTTTTGGTAGAAAAGCTCTAATAATGGTTGTTTGTTATTTTCGATTATTTTCATGATTTTGTATGTAGCTTTTGATTTTTAGGAGGTTGTTTCTAATTTTTAGATTTAAAAGGTGTTGTTTATAACTTTTCTATTTGCAGGTATCTATTCATAGCATTCAATCTTTTTTGGTAGTTGTTTATAATTTTTAATTTTTTTGGGGACTACATTCAATTTTTAGTTTTTTCAGAGGTATTTTTACAATTTTAGATTTTTAGGATGTTATTTGTAAATTTTATATTTTTCTAGGATATTTTTGTAATTTTTGGAGCTTTTAAGGGTTGTTTAATTTTTTTAGAATTTAAAGGGACCGGTATGTAACTTTTAGACATTTCAAGGGCTTTGCAATGATTTTTAGAATTAAAAGGGAGTTATTTGTAATTTTTAGAATTATTAGGGAGTTGTTTGTAGTTTCATATTTCAGGAGAGCTATCTGCAAATAGGAATTATTCGAGAGGTATATATTGACATTGAGTGATAATGTTCGTCAGTATAAAATATTGGATAATGTTTTTATGGGATTAAGTGAAAAAACATAAAATGATTTCGTGTTTTTTTTAAAATCTTAAAGTTATCAGCAATTTCAAATAAATATTATGGCTTAGTGCTAGAAGACTAAACTTATTGGAGGTTTTGTGAAATTTATCTTTTGAAAAATTAAGGAGTGCCGTATGGTAATTTTTTAAAGTGTAAGGCTAATAGTAAACGACTAAGCTGACCTCTTCATTCCATGCTAACCTTGGTCGGGACTGGCTTTTTAAGAAGCTTGTTCCCATGCTGACGACTTCTTCCTTTATATATAAGAGATGAGAGAATTAAAATTTTGATTATTAGATTTTCCTAATTTATGGGTAATTAAAGAAAATTAAGAATAATATTATTAGTTTTTTAATTATGGATAATTATGATTTGATTAGGATTACCAAATATTTGACTATAATTAGAATTAATTAATTTGATTAGGATTCTTAAGTGAGTATAAGATTGAGTATATACATGTCGCATTATTATATGACACATGACAAATTTTTGTACCTTTAGGAGTAACATCAATTTCTCATTATATATATCTATACTAATACAGAAAGAACCTACTAGAGCCACGAATAAAATGCATGAGTTGTGGACAAATTATCCTTTTCAATTGTTTGGAAAAGGGTAAAATTGTAATTTTATACGGGATAATTGTTTCTCTTTTCTATTCTCCCTCTCTCTAGATCATTTTATGTAGTTTAATAAAGAATTATGTATTTCTCTTTTCTATCCCCTTCTTTCTAGAACATTCTGTGCCGCCGAAATACAAAAAGAACCAACTAGAGGCACGAAAAAAATGCATGAGTTGTGGACAAATTATCTTTTCAAATGTTTGGAAAAGGGTAAAAGTGTAATTTTATACGGGATAATTGTTTCTCTTTCTATTCTCCCTCTCTCTAGATCGTTTTCTGTAGTTTAATAAAGAATTATGTATTTCTCTTTTCTATCCCCTTCTTTTTAGAACATTTTGTGCCGCAGAAATGCCATGAAATGAAAATGAAGCTTATATAATTGAATATCGTTTTAACAATATATATATAGGATACAACTATAATATACTAAAGGTGTAGCTAAGTTAGTTACACACACCTATGAAAATACACTTTCACCCATCTATATTATAAATTCAAACCAGTCAATATTATCTAGATGTCACCAAATCTAAATGAATAAAAAAATCATGTGGTTTGGAATTTTTATTCCTCAATTAAAGCAACCTAAAGTAACTGATATTTGAGACCCTTACTGATTGTTCATTTCTATGTCATTAGATGTATCGACTAGAAATATTGAATTTATGTGATTCCTTTATCTCCATAAAGTTTTAAATACATAGGTCATAATAGATGGTGTGGATCATTAATCACGATGATCAAATATGTAATTTTATAGGTGTGTGTAACTAACTTAGTTACGCCCTAGGTATATTGTAACCCTACCTCCACACACCACATAAAAGATGCATCTTGCGTCTAGAGCCGAAAGAGATGCTGGTATAATATGGGGTCTCCCCTTCCTGTAGGATCAAAAAAGGTTGTATTAAAGTTTTGATCGGTTAATAACATAGTAATTGTCCTTGCAAGTACTGGAAGTGATAATAAAAGTAGGAATGCTATCACTAGAACATACCACACAAAAAAGGGTAATCTACTCTGCAGTCATTCCAGGTGCATTTTCAGCCTACGCTTGCTGCTTGCAGCATGGATTCTTTAGATCCAAAGAATCCATGCTTCCCCCGCCTTGGAACGAGACTCTATCTAGATCTCAAAGAATAACGAGCTGGGAGGCCAGCAGGCAAAGAAGGGGAGGGGACGGGGGGGAGGGGGTGGTAGGGCCCTGGCGATACCTTCTTCAATATAGATATAAGTATAGATATATGCTTAGACAAGGTTCTAAACATATATCTATTTTGCAATTTATTTACACTAATGTACAAAGAAAATAATGAGGATGAGATCATTAGTAGAGGATTTCAAATTCAAATAATAAAGGTAAAATCTCTTAGAAAATTAATTGGCCCTCACTATTTCCTCCAACTATAAAATATACATTCTAAATAAAATGAAAATAATATATTTTCATATCATGCGCATTCGCATGGGGTTATTAAAAGTTGGATGAGTAGTCGATATTTTTCTCCTTTTTATTATAATTTTGAGGGTAAAATGGTAATTTCACAAGAGATTTTTTTCCCTTTCATTTCTTTTCATTGTTCTCTCCGGAAGACTCTAAATAATGACATAAGAATAAAATTTAAACTCACATAATTAATTGTAAGTTTTAAAGAGAAACATTTACTTTCTGTTGATGGCCCGGATCAAACAGTCAATCAGATCCGGGCTAGGATCGGTTCTGATCTGGAACTGGATCGGTTCCTCCTGGGTCCTTGCCGGGATGAGGTAGAGGAGATTGATGAAGGGGCCGCTTCCTTCTCTGAATTTATGCCTGATTCTTGAATGGGGGGGCTGAAGTCCACGTTGCACAGACATGAAGAACCCGTGAGAGAGCGGGGACCGGTTCTCTCATGGTTCCTTCGACTGTCAAGTTAGTGAAACCTGAGTGGGGAAGGGGAAGGTCAAGAACCGGTGTGGTTCTTGAGGTGGCAATCTGCCGTTACAGAAGGTCTGTTATGAGTTCCCCTGTGTGTGTGAAGAACTGTGTATTCTTTTTCTTCCTTACAGAGAGAGGGAGGAAGTGAGCAAGCCTTAGATCGAGCCAGCCTCCTTTGTGAGATTAGGAGTCTACCTGTATATATATCTCTGTCCTGGGGATAAATGGGTCACTTCTAGCCAAGTATAGGGAGGCCGTGGTGAAGTGCGGGCTAAGAGCCAAGTCATCTCTCGTTTTATAGGTGCCAGCTGACGACTAGAGAGGAAGTCACTTCGACACGGGAGATGGTGTCTCCACATTTTTCGGGAAGTAATTGAGAGCGTGGCAAAAGGCACGCTGGCATGCTGAGTCATCCCTCGCTTTACAGGTATCGACTGGTGACTGAAGGAGAAGTCACTTCGGCACGGGAGAGGGTGTCTCCGCATTTTCCGAGAAGTGATTGAGGGCGTGGCGGAAGGCACTTAGGCAGCTGACAAGTCATGGAGACCATCAAGATAGAATCTGGATAAGGCTTGTCCGAGGTGGACCGGGATTCTGAAATGTACTCTGGGGGAGAGGCTTGAGGTGGAGGTTATTCCTCAACTTAGTCGACAGCAGAGAATGTCCATCAAGTCATCTTCGTGAGTTGCCGAGTAGGTGGTCGAGTGCCCTTGGTGGGTCGGCT